AATGACAGAGCTCAGATCATCAGCCCTAGGAGAACAAGGTAATTACAAGAATCTGTAGAGATTCCAAAAGATAGAGGGAATAAATATCCCCAAAAGATTAGAATCCTTTTAGAAGGCCGGGAATCAGCCCATTCAAGGATTTTTAGGACCTGTCTTTCAATCAACAAACCATTGAGAGTAGATACCATCCAAAGCTGATAACCAAGGCCTATCTCAACCCTGACCTTTCCCTGTAGAATCTCCACCTGGCTTCAAGTTCCAAAGGTGACTCAGAGTCAGGAAACATTGATGTATAACTCCCAAGTTTATATATCTAGCCCTGGCTTCTTGCCTGGGAAGCAAGAAAGAATGCCATAGATAGAGTGCTGGACTGGGAACCAGAAGACCCAGATTTGAATCCTTCCCCAGATATCAACCATTGCCTCAGACACAGCACGACTAAAATTCAATTAATCATCTTTACCCTAAATCAGCTGTCCATTACTTTTTCTTTCCAGTCCCACTACCATTATCCTAATTCATTTAGGTCTTATCACTTCATACTAACAACTGCAACAGCCTCCTAACTGTTTTCTCCTTCCTTCTTTGTCCTCCCTCTATAATCCTATTCACAGCTATCAGATGAATCTTTCAAAAACAATGTTTTTTTACCATGCCATTCCTCTATTCAAAAATTTTCAAGGTTCTCTATAACCTACAAGATAAAGTCTCAATCTTTTAGCTTTGCAATTAACACCCTACACAATCTGGTCCCAACCTACTTTTCTACCTAAATCTTCACTATTATACAATGCAAATACTTCATTCTATCTCAACTGATTTATGTACTATCCCCAAATGAAGGTGCCTCCAGCTCCCCACCACATATGTTCCTTCTTCCTCCTCCTCATCTTGGTCCAGCTCAAGTCCCATCTGCTCCATGGAGCCTTCCATTCAACGCCAATTTCACCTCCAATAATCTTCCCTTCTTCTGACCTCAGCACTTATCTACACTATTCATTTGACATCGAATCACCTACAACCTCCTTCTATTGTTGCACATTTATGTGCCTGTCCTTTCTTCCTAACTAGCATGCAAGCTCATTGGTAGGACAGGAATTATTTTTATACTTTGCATTCCTTACAGCTCCTGGCAGGTGCTCAGTAAATGTTGACTGATTAAAGGCATGAATGGCTAAAGCCCTTGTAACAATAACAGCTGATATTTATTTTGTTCTTTAAGGTTTACAAGGATCTGCATCTACATTATCCCATTTGATCCTCAAAATAACCCTAAGAATGAGTACCAACCACTATCCCCATTTTACAGATGAACAAACCGTGCCTCAGAAAGACTGAATGCCTTAGCCAGGGTCACTCAGATAGTCTGTGTCCTGGGTGAGGGGTGGGAGATTAAAAACCAGATTTCTCCTTACTCCAAGTTAAGCATTCATTCACCTCCCCTACTTGATAGGGTTGGGATCTAGACCCCAGAAAGGAAAAACCCTGGACTTTCTCACATGGCCAAATCTCTGGCTTTCACCTGAGGCTTTAATTCCATCAACTGGCCTTTCATTGTGGCTACACCCAATCTCACAATTCTCAGTTAGCCTTAATTTAGCCTAGTCCTAATCCTAGCTATTCTCCCTTGGCCACATGATCCAGGTCCCTGGCATTCTACTACCTCCACCCCCAGCAGACTACTTGGCCACCCCTAGATCCCTACCACAGTCTTGCTGTATATAAAGTCAATCTTGTCTCCACTAAAGTGCTCAGGTTCTTACAATCTAGCCAATAGCTTACTAACGTTCAGACTCCTTAAGAGTCTGCCCAATATGACAGATGTTCTAATAAACCTTGTCTTTGGCTGAAAGGAGGCTTGGGTCGAATTCTTTCGGGCAGGACCCACGTGTTGTGATTTTGGGGTCCCAGCACCCCTAAACCTCAACATACCCAAACACTCATGTTTCCCTTCCTAGTTCTGCCAATGGCAACATCACTGTCTCCATTACAAAGCTCAGAACCTTGGAGTCATCTTTGAGATTTTCCCTTTCTTCAGACCCACATTTAGTCACTTTCTCTCATGCCATGTTCCTGTAATGCTAATTCTGCTGAAAGTTTACTACCAAGTTTGGTATATGGCAAGCATATCAGCACTTCTTCGGGAACATATTGACGTCACTAGGGCTGTGTACAATACTTTCTTTAGATGTTTTAAAATATGTTTTCTGGAAAGGTTTCAAGTGATGTGCAAATCAGTGTTTCCTAAAGCTTAGAAGTGATTCATGTCCAGGAATTCCTGAGCCCATCACAGTAGGACTAGGTTCTTGAGGGTATTTTAGCTCCATATTCCCAGTGTGTATAAGTCTAGTTCTGAGGTTGGGAATATTTAACATTTTCAGTGAAGCAATTTAAAATGAAGAATAAATTCTTAACAGAATTTTTTCATGTCCATGGTTACCAGCTGCTCACATCACATACGCCTAATTTACAAGCCCATCTCAGATCAACAAAAGTGGTTTCACTTCTACACAAACTTAATTAGAAAACCACTTTGATTTTTTTTTTTATTTTGGGGGCATCCAGTTATTGACGAAATCTTACTTATTAAGATTTCTCCATTTTCCAAGTCAAAGAGTAATTGCTGTGTCAATTTAACCCGAGTTTTGTTTTAAAATTTAAAATTCAGCAGCCACAGAAACATCGGCCCACTAGGTTCCCACCCCTGACCTAAGCTGACAACAGATTTTAAAACTCAGGCTAATCTCTGTCCCAGACCAGTTCCAAATTCAAGTATTATTTCCATTTCTTTTGTGAGAGGTAAGCAGTGATTTTTTTTTCATCCATACTGACAAAGAGTTAGGTTTGATAATAAAGAACTTTCCATTTTTCAAAAGATAAAAATTCTCATGGACTTCTGAAGGTAGTACAGACCTTAAAATGAATTTAAAAAAAAATGTTAAGCATTATATCAGAGAGCAGGGTCACTGATTTTAAAAGTTTTTCCTAAAAAATACTGCATGGCATAAACATTGGGCAAAAACTGAATTCGCACACAGTCGAGTTATCAATAGAACTACACAAATTACTTTAAACAGTGTTCAAAGAAACTCTAAGCAAGTAAAAATTTTCTTCAGTCTAAATCATAAGTCTAAATGGAGTTTGTACTGGTCCACTTAATCAACATACTGGGATCAAATGAGTTTTAAAACAGGATTTACACATCTTCCACAATGCTGATAAAGCTGCCCAGGAGATTTCCATACACTGTGGGGGACTGCAATATTCACTTCTGCTAATAAGAACTGAAAAATATAAAACATGCTGATTAAACAGAATATTCACTTTCCTTGACTAGTGTGGGCATGTTCTTCAATTCTTGAAGGAAGCTAGGACACTAATTACAACAGCTTTTAAAGCTTTTCTGAGAATCCTATTGAAGTATTTGGACTCTGAATAAATATGATCAGATATACTTAGTGCCAAAGTAATTGGGTGTGTTTTTCAGGTAGTGTAAACTAAACTGATGAATTAAAATTTGATGAAAATGTACCTTTTCCCCCGAGGAACTCTATACAACCAAGACGCAAAAATCCCACAACTCACAATAGAATCTAAGCATATTTAAAACATACGCCTCGACTTGTGTATAGTTTGTTCGGTTAACTAAGGGGATTATTCTACACCAAGTGAAACCAACTGAGAGTCTCACATAACTCATTTAAGTCAATGTCTTTCACCTAACTAAAAGGTTCTAAGAATGAACCTAACCAACTGGTTTATGGTGTTTGGTTTTTTCCTACTTTCGCCTCCCCTGCTCTTGGCTGGAGATGCTAACGAGCGGCCAAGGGATTAAAAAGGTCCGGATAGGAGGAGGCTGAAGTGGCCGAGACAGGAGCCTACGACCGAAAAAGCCAGGGCTGCTTGCTTACAAACAAGTTCAGTTCTGACCATGGCTGGTAGTAAGCAGTAGACACAGTTTAGAAGGTTCCATAAGGGAGGGTAAATTTCGTCCCCTTGGGTCAACAGCCTTCAGTGGAAGGATAAGTTGGAAACCGTTTTCTTGGAGCCTTGCTGACCTACCCACCAGCGCTTCTTAGACGTGCCCATGATTTAAAAAAAAAAAAAAAAAAAAGGCATTTCCATGCTCTAAGGTGCTCAGAGGGCTGAAGAAGCTGAGTAAACGTCTGGGTTGGCCCGCCCCACTCTGGTGACAGCCCTTGCCAGGATGGCTGGGCTGCTGCAGCCTCAGCACCTGGCCAGAGCCGAGATCCCGCACCTAAGTGCGGCCCACACCGAGAGGAGGAGCCACGGGGTGGAGGGTCGAGGAAGAGGGAAGACGACCTCGGGGGGGGGGGGGGGGCTGACCTTTTTCCTACTGACAGCGCTAGACCCGTACATCCTGCTGTTTCTCAGAGAGCGGCACGAAGCACATTTCTCCTCTTGGGCAGGAAAAAAAAACAAACCACCAAGTAGACTCCCGGGTGTGAGCGCGCGCGTGTGTGTGTGCGTGTGCGTGTGTGAGAGTGTGTGTCGGACAGCAGGCCGGAGAGGAGGACGGCGAAGATGGTCAAAAGTAGGCTTTGTCGGTCCCCTGGCCAGCAGTCGGTCCTGGGACTACATCTCCCAGGCTGCTCTGGGCTGCCCCTGCGTCGTGACCCCGGTGCGCGCGGGAGGCGGCGACTCTTACCTCACAGAGGTAGCCCCGCCGCCAGCCTCCGCTCCTCGGCCGCGGTCCATGCACCGGAACCCCGGGGAGACGGGCAGGACCCCGCGCCGCGATCGCCGCCTCCCAGCCCAGGCCCCTCCTTCCGCCGCCGCCTCCTCACCCTCCTCCCTCCCCCGCGTCCTCCCGGAGTCCAGAGGTCGCTCCGAGCCGCTTCCGCCGCCGCGCCTCCCGGGGAGGCCGTGAGGAGAGCTCGCCGCGTCTGGAGCGCGGCTGAGGCCTAGCCCGCCCGCCCACCTCCTCCGCCGCTGCCGCCGCTATTGTCCCCTCTGGGGCCCGGCGCTCGCCGCTGCCGCCTACGCCGCCGCCGCTGCCCGGCCCCGCGGGGAGGGCCTAAAGAAGATGCCCGATCAAGCCCTGCAGCAGATGCTGGACAGGTACGGGTAGCGGCGGGCTGGGCCGGGCCGGGCGGGCCGGCCCGAGCTTCGGTTTCGGTGGTCTGACCGGTTTGGGGAGGGGGTGGGGTGGGAGGGAACAGAGAGACGAGAGCGGGGTCTGCGGAACCCAGAAAGTTGTGTTAGCCCCTTCCCTCCCACACGGGGCGTGTGGGCACGGGCCGGTTTGGTCCCCACGATTCCTCGCCCCCCAGGGTCAGGAGAGACCTGCACGTCAGAGAAGACCCTTAATCCAAATGGCTTAAAATGGGGGGCTGGTTGGAAAATGGAAGCGTTGGGGGGGTGGGGGGGGAACGCTCCGACGGAGTTTTGCCAAAGATTTGACTCCTAATTCGATTCAGCAAATGTTTCTTTAGCTCCTGCTCTTTTGCACTGGGAATAAAAGCAACAACAACAACAAAAAACCAAACTGAAACAGCCCCTGCCCTTAACGAGCTTACCCTTTGTACAGAAATACCAAGTAATTTCAGGAGAGGGAGGAAACAGAAACCGAAACTCAAAAGGAGAAGAACCAGGATCACAGAAAACTTGAAATTCCCTTGAGGTCTAGAGAGCCTGTTTTGTCTCATGTGGAAAGAAGAGCTGGGTTACCTCTAAATTCTCTTCAGCAAACGTTTACGAGTACCTCCTATGTGCTATAAGCATTGGGGATTTTACATACATATATTTGTATATGTATACATATATGTATATATACATATATTTGTATATGTAAACACATAAAAAGAATCTATACATAGATACACATACATACATATATGTATATATGTGTGTATATATACACACACACACACACACACACACATATATATATATAAAAAGAAAGGGGAGAGAGAATGAATCCTTCCTTCGAGAATCTTACATTTCACTAGGGAAAAGCAACACGTACACCCATGAGCAAATACGAAGTAATTTGAGGAGTGAGTAAACTACTGGGGGAGGGGATGAGGAAGGCTTCCTAGAGGCAGTGGCACCTGAGCCTTGCCAGAGCCCAAGGGGGTGTGACTCTCCCACTGGTTTAAACCTCCAAATTCTAGTAACCTGGCATAATCACTAATGGAAAACCTGGTAGGCTGGTTTGCATTTCCCCAGGATCCAAGCAAGAAAGCCAGGAGGTAGCAGCTTTGTTGAGATGCAAGTTAGCAGTAGTAGATAATATGAAAACAGCCATAAGTCTACCACTCAATGATTAACATTTTCTAGTGTCACTCATGATTGTTTGAGGGTGGTATAAACCATATTGAGGTCTGTTTTTTCCCTGTTTATATTTATTTTGTATGTACTTACATGTCTCCTCCACTGAATTCCTGCTCCTTGAGAGTGGGGTTTGTGTCAATCTGGGCATCTGTATTCCCAGGGCTTAGTACATTTCCTGGCATGTATATAGGCTTACTGACTGTCTGGTAGCTTCTTGCATGAAGTCATCACCCTTTACAAGGGCCTGGGTCTCACCATAATTCCATTGAGAAACACCTTGTTATCCCTGTCCTCAAGAAGCTTACATGATGGGTTTAGAGAAGAGACAATTGTACGCAGAAAAGTAAATGCAAAATACAAAAGTAATTTCTGGGGAGAGGGCACTAGGAGCTGAGAGGAAAAGCCTACTGTAGGAGATGGTTCTGGAATAGGGTACACTAATACTGAGGGAGCAGGGATGGAGCAAAGGAGGCTGAGAAAGAATAGCCAGACAAGTAGGAAAAGTAGCAAAGAGTGGTGTCATAAAAACCCAAGGGAGACAGAGAATCCAGGACAAGAAAGCAGTAGTTTCAAAGGCTGCCAAGTTCAGATGGGACAAAAGAACAGGCCATGGATTTAGCAGTTCAGAGAGCAGTTTTTTAACATTAACTGGTAAGACTTAGTCTCCTTGACCAATGAGGGAGCTGGAACTAGAAACTGTGACTTCCTGAGTTCCTGCCCAACAGTCTTTGTTTATCTCCTGGTCCAGTGAATTGTCTAGACTAACGGGTACTTTGAAGCATATCTCGGATCTTCTTTCCTGAGTCAGCAAATAGTTACAACCCTTTTGGGATAGTACAAGCTGTACAATAAGATAGTGAATTTATTTTTCCTCCTTTTGAGGCAATCCTCACTTGTTTATGGCTAATCTTCAGGCATGACCTAAAATAAGGATGAGTGTATTCCGCACCCATTTCCACTGAGGCTCTGCCTAACCAATAATATGAAACCTAGAAAGCCTGAAGGTATTGGGTGTATCCTTTGGAGCAATGGTGCCCAACCCAAATAGAAATGGGGGCCACTAAAAGATATATTAGGATCCCTGCAAATGTATATTGACTAGAAAGCCACAAATTAACATTATTTATGTTTTTGTGTATTTTTGTTTTATTTTATTATTTTTATTTATTTTTTATTTTATTTATTAAATACTTGCCAATTACATTTTAATTCGGGTCATTCCCCAAATCCTCCTATTTGACACCTGCTCTGGAGGATTTATAGGAGGACTTGGATGAGATTCATCCAAGATGAAAAGTATAGATTTGAATACTCATAAAATAGGAACGTTTAAGTTTCTAAATGAAACCATGTACTTGTTTCTCTGGTGGAGTGACCCATGGCAAACAGAGACCTGCTGCATCCCTCACAAATGAACCTAGTTCCCCAGTTATCCTGATTATTCAGAGTCTAGAAGGTCACCTCGTTTTCCTCTCGTTGTCCCTGGGAACAGAGGCAGATGACATATTTGACTGTCAGTGACATTTGATCAGAGGGACCAATACCCAATCCTTGTCCAGTGAGGTCATAATATTTTAGGTACATTCCAACTCACATGTGACATAAGGGCCTTTTACTTGTTCTTTATGGATAACATTAATTTTAGAAACATTGTGTAGAAAGACCACTGGTTCTGGAGTCAGGATTTGGATATTTCTGCTCTGCTACTTACTAGCCATGTGAACTTGGGCAAATCAATTAGAATATCTTGGAATTCTCTAATTTCTTTCAAAACTCAGCTCAGGGGTCACATCCTACAAAATCATTTTCCTGATTTTCCACCCCTCCAAAAATTTTACTTTGTATCTGTTTAGTATATACTTATGTGCATGTTGTCTTCCTGGATAGAATATAAGCTCCTTGAGGTTTCTTTCTTTTAAATCTTTGTACTCCCAATGTCTGTCTCATAGTAGGCACTTAGTAAATGCTTGTTATTTGATTGATCTTAAGAGCTATTGGTAACCGGGGAATATCTCCCTGACTGTACTTCCAAATATATCTCTGAAATCCTGGAAAGTCCTGGACCCCCAGTGACATAACCTAACCTATCTACTTAATGCTGTAGGCACCTAAAGATAAACAATATTAGTACTAGTTTATGTTCATATTGTGCTTTAAGGTGTGCAAAGTACTTTGTATATATTATTTCATTTGATATCCTCACCTAGAAATAATGACCTGATGTTCCGGCTTCTAGAGGGATGACCAAGTTTGTGGGCACAAAATGGGATTTTTATTCAATGTCTTAAGCATTAGTATAAAGTTACTTTATATCCTAGTTTATCTCTTAATAAAAGGACATGACAGAGAATAGGTAGAAAAAGGAAAAAAGTTTGACCTCTGTAACCTGTCATTGCTGTTAGTTTCAGTTGCATATATCAAGTTGAGTTTGTTGTCAACCTAAAAAACCTCAGGAATGTTTTTCTTTCTATAAGACAACAGTAGTGTTCTTTTGCTCCTAGGTCACGGTGCAAAGTGTTAGGAATCTGTAATAAAAACTTATATCTGTCTTTCATGATTACAACTACTAATAGTTATGTGTGTGCGTGTGTATGTGTATATGTCTGTATGTATGAGGAAACTGCCAAGGAAAACGATACCATTTCATACAACATTAATGATGTTTTCAGTTGGCATCACTTAATGTTGCAAGCCATTTAAGCTATAAAAAAAAATTTATTATTGAAAGAAAACTTGAGTTGTATTGTTATTTTACTAACTTTGGTATAGTGACTAGTTATTATATCGGATATATTTTGAATTTGGCTAGTGTAGTGCTTAAAGGCAAAAAGCAAGTATATTTTCTTTATTTTTACCCTTTCTATATTGTTCCTGATTACATGTGAAAACAATTTTTTACATTTGTGTTTTAAAATTTTGAATTTCAAATTCTTTCTCTTTCCCTCCCCTCCCCCTTCACTGAGAAGGCAAGCGACTTGATGTAGGTTATACATGTACAGTCATGCAAAATATATTTTTATATTAGTCATATTGTAAGAGAAAACACAGACAAAAAGCCCCAAGAAAAAATAAAGAAAAATTTTTAAAAGTATACTTTGATCTGTATTTAGACTCTGTCAGTTCTTTCTGTAGAGGTGGATAGCATTTTTCACCATAAGTCCTTTGGAATTTTCTGAGATCGTTGTATTGCTGAGAATGGCTTGATCATCATTGTGTACAGTCTTCTGGTTCTGCTCACTCTGGTTTGTGTGAGCTCATTTAAGTTTTTCCAGGTTTTTCTGAAGACATCCTGCTCTTCATTTCTTATAGCACAACAGTATTTCATCAAAATAATTTATCATTACTTGTTCATTCATTCCTAATTGATAAGCATTACCTCAATTTCCAGTTCTTTGCCACCACAAAAGAAGTTGCTAGAAATATTTTTGTATATAGGTCCTTTCTTTTTTCCCTTTTTTTTTTTGGTTGAATTGGTTTTGCTTGTGTAAAAACTTTTAAATTTAAGGTTGATTACCAGAATTATCCATTTTACATCCCTTAATGCTTTCTAGTTCTTGTTCTTCCATTATTTGTAGATCTGACAGGTAAACTATTCCATGCTTCCCTAATTTGCTTATGGTTTCACCATTTGTGTCTAAATCATGTAATCTGCCCTGCATATCTGCTTCCATTTTATGGGTGAGTTCATCTCCTTCATATTCACATTTCCCTCCATCTTACTTCCCACCCCCTCCTGTTTATCCTTCTCTCTTTTCTTTCACCCTGATCCTCCTCAAAAGTGTTTT